CGCCTGCACAACCCTGGACACTATGGGTAATTTAGCATGGCTAATCCACCCTAACCTGCACATCCCTGGACACTATGGGACAATTTAACATGGCCAATCCACCTTAGCCTGCACATCTTTGAACTGTGGGAGGAAACCAGAGCACCTGGAGGAAAGCCATGCAGACACACAGGGAGAATGTGCAAACTCCACACAGACAGTTGCCCGAGGGTGGGATCGAACCCGGGTCCCTGGCGCTGTGAGGCAGCAGTGCTAACCACCAAGACGCCCAGAGTAATGTCTCGAGTAATCAAGGCACACAATGCAATAATTTTCTTCCTTGCCTGTTTATGCAATAAAATTAATGACACCTTCTCCGTGTGGAATTTTATAGGCAAGTTCTTCGCATCCACAATAGTGCTCATTGTCACAGGAACCGTCATAGGGGTCTTGATCATAATCGTCTTATTAGCCATTGTGATGGTGAAGAAAAGGCGACCAATTGAGGGTAAGCAGTATGATATTCTAACGGATGCTTTCATCAACTTCCACTGTGGGGAATAGACAGAGTTCGTTCATCATTGGAAACAGTTCTTACAGAAGGCTTGCTAGTCTGATTCCTGGAAGGATGGGTTTATCTTGTGGGGAGAAATTGGGCAGATTGGGCAGGTAAGGTTCACTTGGATGATCCCTGGTGTGGAGGTCTTATGAGCAAAGGTTAAACAGGTTGGGACTCTACTCACTGGAATTTGGAAGAACGAGAGGTGATCTCATTGAAACACATCGGATTCTTGAGGGGCTGGACAGGCTGAGAGAGTGTTTCCCCTCATGGGAGAGTCTAGGACCAGAGGGCACAGTCTCAGAATAAAAGGGAGCCAATTTAAGACTGAGATGAGGAGGAATTTCTTCACTCAGAGGGCTGTGAGTCTTTGGAACTCATTGCCCCAAAGAGCTGTGGAGGAGGTAAGAGTCCTCATCTATATTTAAGGCTGATATCATTCGATTCCTGATCAGTTGGGGGATCGAGGGTTATGGGGAAAGGGCAGGGAAGTGGACGTGAGAGATGTGTTGGATCAGCCATGATCCTGTTAATGGTAGACCAGACTCAAGGTGCTGAATGGCCTACTCCAGTTCCTATCTCTTCTGGTCTTATGTCATTGGACGTTAGGAGAATGAAGGACGAAACACAGGGAGATGAGGTGGGGAGTCACTGCTCTCAAGGGGCTTTGGAATTCTGTATCTGAAGAACACTGGATGCTTTAGTCCATTCAATGCTGAGTCAGGCAAATTTTCAATTAACCGGGGACTCAGAGAGTGGGGTGGAGAGGTGGAAAAGTGGATTTGATTGGTCGTGACCTTATTGAACGGTGGAGCAGGCATGTGGGGCTTCAAGTGTTGAATATTGAGGAATAATGTGTGGCCCATTTCCCATTAGTTTCACAACGAGAGCAACAGATCACTTATGGGACAGGTCACACTTGGTAACTGAGGTTCAGGCGAATATCCAACATAGAAATGGAGCTCAGAGAAGGGAAGGAATCTTTTCTCATTCTATTCCCATTTCTTAATTCACACAGACTGCGCATCTAAAGCCAAGCTTCCTTCACAAAAGGTGAGCCACTTTTGTCAGCTAATTAATGTACGAGTCTCGAGATGTCTATCTACAGCCTAGCACTGTTTCAAAGCTGAAATCTCTGGAGGAGTTAGTGTTACCTCAGAAAGGTGGGAAATGAGATTTGAAATATCACTTTGCCCAATTCAGTTATTAGCTAAGGATGCAATGTAATTCTACCGTGGTTACGCACTGAGCCCTGTTGGTCTTGTCATGCAATAAGTAGTGCCCTACCCTCTGGGGCAGGAGGCCTGGTTCAAGTCTTACCTTCCCAGGGGTCATCGAGTTAGGGTCATAGAGATATACAGCGCAGAAACAGACCCTTCAGTTCAACTCATCCCTACCAACCAGATATTCTAAATTAATCTAGTCCCATTTGTCCCATATCCTTCTAAACCTTTCCGATCCATGTCCCCATCCAGATGCCTTTTAAATGTTGTAATTGTACCAGCCCCCACCACTTCCTCTGGCAGCTCATTCCATACACACACCACCCTCTGTGTGAAAAGTTGCCCCTCAGGTCCCTTTTAAATCTTTCCCCTCTCGCCTTAAACCTATGCCCCTCTAGTTTTGGACTCCCCTACCCTGGAGAAAAGACCTTATCTATTTTTCCGTCTCCATGCCCCTCACGATTTTATAAACCTCTATAAGGTCACCCCTCAGCCTCCGACGCTCCAGGGAAAATAACCCCAGCCTCTCCCTGTAGCTCAAACCCTCCAACCCTGGCAACATCCTTGTAAATCTTTTCTGAACCCTTTCAAGTTTCACAACATCCTTCCTATAGCAGGGAGACCAGAATTGAACACAGTATTCCAAAAGTGGCCCTAACCAATGTCCTGTACAGCCCCAACATGACCCTTCCAACTCCTATACTCAATGCACTGACCAATAAAGGCAAGCGTACCAAACACCTTCTTCACCGCCCTGTCTACCTGCGACTCCACTTTCAAGGAACCATGAGCCTGCTCCCCAAGGTCTCTTTGTTCAGCAACACTCCCCAGGACCTTATCATTAAGCATCACAACATACCTGGGTTGCTTGATTCTTTAGAAAGATACACATATATGGATTAAATAATAAACTCTGGAATAAAGTGTGCTAATTATTAATAATAATACTGGACTGTGGTTAAAATTCACCAGTGTCCAACAGGGAAGAAGATCTGTCCTTACTATGTGACTCCAAACCCTCCACAGGAATGTAGTAGCTTCTAGCTGCTCTCTCTCCCACTCAGTTTTATCGAACGGCTACGGAAATGGGCACTTGTGGCTGAGTCTACAACACATGGACTTTGTTGGTTTGGCAACACCTTTTCAGGGACAATTCGGGATAGTTTGCAAATTGGGGCACATTGGCTTGCATGCTGTAAACAGTGGCCACTGTAATCCCTTCCACAACTGAAAACAGAGATGAGGAAATTTTTTTTTTCCCTGTCTCCCGAGTCTTTGGAATTCCATTCAGTGGATGCAGAATCTTTGAACATTTCTAAAGCGTGTGGGATTGGTAGATAGATTGTTGACAACTAAGGGGGATGGAAGATTATTAGGGGCTGGGGGGCACGAGCTGAAGTTAAATCAGATCAGCCATGAATTGTGAAACAGGCTTGAAGGGCCAAGTGGCCTACTGTTTGTTCCTTTGTTTGGATGTTCTTTATGGGAAAATTGACTCATACCCGATCCTATCCCGTCAACAGCGGAGCCAAATTACCGTCTTTGCAACTCTAAACCTGAACATGCTGGACGGTGCTAATTCTTCGAAGAGGGATGATCGCGAAACTGAGGCGACAGTAAATGCAGATGTTAACGTTAATTAGAGAGAGCCTTCCTTCGTTGATCGAATACTAAGCTTGCTAAATAATGGTCTGATCTGTTGTTGTAACTGCTCAGTAAACAGATGCAATTAAAATCCAACAAAATAAACTCGTTAAAAAACTGCCTTGTTTCCAAACATTCTTGAACCGGATTCATACTTTCCTGTAACAAGTATGAAACACTGTGTGCAAACGTGCGGGACTGTCTCGTTCCTGTGTTGAGACTGTAGCCTTCTGTGGTCATTTTTCGATTTACTCATCAGTCAGCGAAGAAGACACTTGCATTTCGCAAGCACCCTTCTTGACCATATCTGAGAGCATTTTCCAGCCAGCTTCACAAGTGTCATAGCGATCGCTGCAGCCTCTTTGAACACAGCAAGATCCCACAAGCAGCGACGGTATAATGACCCAATTATCTACCTTAGTGATGTTGACAGGCACAGAGAAAAGAGGAGCAGAAAATGGGCCATCTAGCCCTTCCAGCCTGCTCTGCCATTCAATATGATCATGGTCAATCATCCAACTCAGTACATTCTTCTCGCTTTTCCACTCCCCAATCCCTTTGATCCATTTTGCCCCCAAGTGCTATATCCAACTCCACCTTGAAAGCATTCGATGTTTTAGCCTCGATTGCTTTCTACAGCAGAGAATTCCAGAGGCTCCCCACTCTCTGGGTGAAGAAATTTCTCCTCATCTCAGTCCTATCCTGGCTCCTTCAGACTGTGACCCCCCCCCCCCCCCCCCCCCCCCCCCCCCCCCGGTTCTAGACTCCCCCATCATCAGGAACATCCTTCCGGTGTTTACCCTGTATAATCCTGTCATAAGTTCCTATCAGATCCCACCTAATTCTCCCAAACTCCAGCCAGGCTGTCTTGAGATAGCAAGAACCGCAGATGCTGCAGTCAGAGTGTGGAGGAACACAGCGGGCCAGGGAGCTTCAGAGGAGCAGGAAAGTTGACATTCCAGGTGGGGACCCTTCTGGAGAGATGGCCCATGTGTAACACTGGGTCGTGTCTCCAACTGCTACAGGAAGGGGGCAAAAATACAGAGAGGGTGTATCCCCTCCACCTGGGCTCGCTGAGGTTGAAGATAAAAGTCATCTCCTCCTCCTCTCAAGGCCAATTGGAGACAGACAACGGAAGTCAGCCTTGCCGGTGATGGTCATATCCCGAGACCAGCTGGTTTATAAAAAAACACACGAGCAAAAAGCTGCAGAAGGCAATAGTGGAGCGAAACGATATAATTTTAGCTGGGAAATTCAATTCACAACAACGTTTCCCTTTTAACATGTATTTGCATTTCAATCGAGAGGAACAGTTAGCTCCCTCGGCTGGGGGCCTGGATTTGTAAGTGAGTTCAGTTGTTTCATAAAATCCATGCAGTCCGGAAACAGGCCTTTCGGCCCACCCAAACCAGCTTTTCCCATGGCTGAGCCATCGAGCCTGCGGATCCCTGGACACTCTGGGCAATTTAGTGTGAACAACCCACCCTAACCTGCACATTGTTGAGCTGCAGGAGGAAACGCACACAGGCATTGACCTGAGGGTGGAATCAAACCCGGGTCCCTAGCGCTGTGAGGCAGCAGTGCTAACTACTGTGCTGCCGACTGAGGTCACCTTGAGGAGCAGGGGCAGGGTAGGACATTTTGGGACTCTGTCCCACTCCCACTCACCCGGCCAGCTGCATTCTGTTTCCTTTATTCATTCACGGGATGAGGACGTTGCTGACCAGGCAGCATTTATTGCCCATCCCTAATTGCCCAGAGGGCAGTTAAGAGTCAACCACATTGCTGTGGGTCTGGAGTCACATGTAGGCCCAGACCAGGTAAGAATGGCAGTTTCCTTCCCTAAAGGGCAGTTGTGAGCCAGATGGATTCATGGTCATCATTTGACTCTTAATTGCAGGTTTCTTTCTGAATTCAAATTCTACCATCTGCTGTGGCAGGATTCGAACCCAGGTCCCTAGATCCTTACCTTTATCTCTGGATTAACAGTCCAGCGATAATACCACTAGGCAATAGCCTCCCCATCTTTTCCTCGATTATTTCTTTTTATAGTTTCTGTAATTAACATGGCACTGAACTTTGGTGACGTATACACATATACTGAATTTTCGTAAATACAAGTGACAATAACTTGCTATTCTATTCTATTCCATTCTATTCTCCTCCATTCTATACCATTCCATTCTATACCATTCCATTCTATTCCATTCTATTCTATTCCATTTTATTCTATTCCATTCTATTCTACGCTATTCTATTCCATTCTATACCATTCTATTCTATTAAATTCTATTCAATTCCATTCTATTCTATTCCATTCAGTCTATTCTATTCTATCCTATTCCATTCTATTCTATTCTATTCCATTCTATTCGATTTTATCCTATTCCATTCTATTCTGTTCTATTCCCTTCTCTCCCCTTGTCTGAGGCATGGCGTCCCTCAGGTTAAACCACCACCAGTCGTCTCTCTCTAATGAAAGAGCAGCGCTTTGGCCTGGTAAGACAAAAGCAATTTGAGCTCCACTTGAATAAGATTCAGAAATAATTTGGATGACGGTAAAAGTCCTAACTTTCACTTCTGGTTGTCACAGAGATCACAATGCTTGTTCCTTCAGAAGGAGAGGATGACAGGCATGATGCAGTTGAGTTGAGGTCAGTACACAAGCGCAATTGTGGAACTGAATTTGGGTGAGTCATCCCAATCACAAGATGGGCAAACAGGAAAAGTACCCTGGGGGTGGAATTTATAGATTTTGTCCTCATTCACTAGGGGTATGTGATCTCCCGCTGTAATCTCGGTTTTATTTTTAGGAGATGATGTGATGCCAGCTCGTGGGGAGTTCTGCATTTCTATAGCGCACCATACAGCTTCAGGATTGTCCAGCAGCAGACCCTGCCCCCCGACTGTGAGATTGTTTTGTGTTGTAACCGTGACGGTGATCTGCAAAGTGTGTAATATGCCTTTGTGATTTTTTTGTTCAATCAAGTTATTGAGGGGCATAGACAGGGAGAAACTTATTCCCCTTGGTGGAGGGATCAGTGTCCCAGGGGCCTTAGCTTTAAGGTCAGGGGCAGGAGGCTGAGAGGGAATGTGAGGGAAAAGAAATTCACTCAGGGTGATGGGAATCTGGAACTGACTTCCTGTAAGGGTTGGAAAGGCAGAAATCCTCATATCATCTAGATGCGAGGCCAAGGCTATGGGCCAAGTGCTGGAAAATGGGGTTGGAATGGTTAGGTGCTTGTACTTTTATTAGCACAGGCTTGATGGGTTGAAGGGCCTTCTTCTGCGCTGTAGAACTCTATGACTGAGGGATGAATGTTGACCCAAACTTCAAGTAGAGGGTGCCCCGTCTCTTCCTCCAATATGGTGACCTGTGACAGCACATGTCCACCAGTCATCTGCGCCTGAGAATGAGCACCTCAGCCACAACACAGCGCCTCCTACAAGTGGGATGGCGGCATAGCAGAGGCCTGGGGCTAACATTGAGAACCCTGTACGGGAGCTGAAGGCAACTCTGCAATAGATCTAGATTTTTAGCTGTTGAGCGGAGGAGATCAGCTGGTCCTCCGGGTCCACATCGATCGATTGTATCTGGCCACAACAGAATAAGCAACGCATGGACCATAACATGACAACTGGGGATGGGCAACAATGCCTGGAATATTCCGTGACACTCAGGAAACAAAACACTGCCCTCTAAGGATACGGACTAGACCATTCAGGGCAGAGAGGCGGAGGAATGTCTTCACACAGAGAGTGGGATGTTCTGCTACAGAAAGCACTTGAGGCCGAAACATCGGACGCTTTCGAGAAGGAGTTGGATATAGCTCTTTGGGCTAAAGGGAGCAAAGAGTGTGGGGAAGAAAGCGAGGAACAGGGGACTGAGTTGGTTGACCAGCCATGATCCTGCTGAACGGATGGAGTAGGTTCGAAGGGCTGAATGGCCTCTTCCTCTTTGTTTCTGTCAGCTGCATTGTCATTCTGTGCCCTGCTAGGAAATTGGAACCTCATTAGCCTGCAATCATGTGCACTGTATGGACAAACTTTGCGTATACATACATATACGTCTGACCTGAGTGTGCATGAGGGACCAAGGGTCTAAACATGTGCAACTACCAGGGGGGGGGCATGGATGCGGCAGATGAGAAGCAGTTTCACCGACGGGTCGATGCACAAGGGAGCATCATTTTAAAGGGAAGGGCAGGCAGGGATTGCAGGGGAAAGATTCTCACGCAGAGGGTGGTGGGGGTCTGGAATGCACCGCCTGGGAGGCTAACTCACAGGGAGGGAAACCTCACAACCTTTGAAAAGTACTTGGATGAGCACCTGGAACGTTCCAGGCTACTGGCCTCGTGTTAGAGTAGTTTTGTCACTGGAAATTTGATGGGCCGATGGGCCTCTTCTGTACCATACGGTTCTACGACAACACGAGAAGCTGTTACAACAGCTCGTGTTTTTGTTACTTCGTATTAGTTTTATTTTTCTGGTCTTAATAAATCGCTGGCTCGGCCTGCCTTGGGTTCCGCGGGCGGTTCAGCAAAATTAGACATCAGCCTGAGGCTGCAGCGCAAAAACGTGAAGGTGAGAGAAGACAAAAGGGAGGCAATATCAATTGTAGGAGCCAGTTTCTCACTTTCGCCGGGTTTTGCAGAAACGTAATGTTTCGTTTTGACAGGATCTCGCCTTCCTCTTTCAAATTGTCTGGATGCGTTTCGGAACTGGGCTGTTTAATTGTGCGAGTCTGGCAAGCTTCCAAGTTAGAATTGCGGGATCAGAGAACATTTTTACAGCACGGAAGAGGTCCATCGTATCTGTAGCGGCTCCCAAAAGATCTAGCCAGCTAGCCCCAGTCTCCAGCCATATCTCCATAGCCCTCGAAATTCACCACTTTCAAATCTATATCCAGCTCTCTTTTGAAACCTCCTATGGAAGCTGCCTCCGCCATTCTCCCAGGCAGCGCATTCCAAATCCTCAAAACCCTCTGAGTAAACAGGTTTCTCCTTATCCTACTCCTGGCTCTTTTGGAATTCTAGCTGCTGACAAACCAGGTAAAACAAAATATCCTTCTTCACCCTGTCAGCGTTGTGCGTAATTTTGAGCGCCTCAATGAAGTCA